TTTGTCCCATTTCCGCAGGCTTTATCAAACGTGTTTGCAGGGGGCACTTTTTGATAAAAAAGGACAAAGGGTGCTAAATAGAACATTAATTAACAATTAACCACAAAAGAAATGCCCAAATGAGTTCATACAAGACGCGCTTACCAATTGTTTCGCACACACGGACGTTTCGTACTCAAACGATTCGTATCCAGTCATGACTATTCGTACTCAGTCAGTTAAGTCATTCGTACACACATTGACCGGGTGCGAAACATCTGAGTTTTATAAGCGACTGAATACCAGGTAAACAGCGTTTTAACAGATGATATTTAGATTGGGTAACTCGTGAGCGTGGGAAGTCCACTCCGGATTAGTGGGAGAAGAGGATGATGCTTTTGCGCATTAATTACCGGAAGCTCTATCTCTGATACTTAAAATAGGAAGCGAATCATTATTCTCGTTGTGATGTGGATGAAAGGGTAATCAATTTGAATTTCCTGCTTCTTCTCTATGGTTTAAATTAAGCACCACTAATTTTTTTCCTTTGATGCCCATTCCCACGAAACAAAAATTTAAATTTCGAGCGAAAAATTTTTGTTTATTCTTTGTCGCTCATGGCCACGCTTTTCAAATAAAATGAATATAATCCTCCTTAAAGCGTCGAGAATAAAAAGCATCATCTGTGAGGAATCTTTCCTCCACTCCCACCCGTAAAACTATAATAACAAAAAATCGCTGCTGAAACAAAATCCCATTTGAGCTTTTCAACACAGATGCAAAAAAACGCTTCGCAGCCGAAGATCAGATTTTAATACTTAACTTATTTTAACTTTTTTCTAAATTTTTCAAACTTGTTCCAGACGCATTCAGAAATCTGAAGTTTCGGTTTGGTTTTTAAATATGAAAATGAGAGTACATAATTACATTAGTGTTTCCTTGTAAATGGTTAGTGATGATTAAAGAACTTCAACTCCCGCTGCAGCTAACAATTTCGGACTATTTTACGTTCAATCAAGCTATGGATTGCACCGTTCTTGTAATGTCACCTTAAGAAACATTACGACTGAATATTTTTGGAAAAAAAAGTAATGTAATAGAGAGTGAATGGAAACTCAATAAGCGCCGAATTTTCTGTATGTTCGAGTTATTTTATTTCATCTTTGACAGTTGACAAGAGACAAGAGTTTTTAATCTCTTGCAAAATATGTTGATGAGCTCTAAAACTAGTAATTCGTGTTCTAGTTAGTCGTATATTAATTCTAAGATCGAATTTCTTATCGTAAAAAAAACAAACACGCGTACAGGTGACGAGCTGTTGGCTGTTCATAACATAATGGTTTTCTGTGGAAGATGCAAGGGTTTTCGGCTTTATAGAGAGAACTAATTACTTGCCCTTGTTTAGTTCGATCAAAGTTTCGCCTTTCACGCCCCGAACGACGTTAATGACACACCGAAAGCCTATTACATGCTTACCTTGGCGTAAGGTGAGTGTTTCCTACGGCTCAAGAGATCATCTGTGACCCAAACGACCAGGTTTTTTTTTTTTTTCACTTGTGGTAAAATTTTGCGATGAGGTATATTTTTGGCCAGAATTGCCAGTTTTTTCTTTGAGGAACCATGTATTGGCGAGTAAAGACCTGATTCTAAAGGATCCTAAACATAAAGGTTGTATGCGAATTTTGACATCAATATAAATTGTACTACCATTTTCCTGGCAGGTGCGAAATTACTGATTTTTCATACCAAAACCATTCCCTAAAATCCAAAGCAAAGTTGACTGACTGTCGTTTTCTTGGCAAGATTTCAGTACTGATGAACCCAGCCTACAAACTATTCTGAGTGAAAGCATTAGTCACAAAGGTGATCTATGTTTTTTCGCAATTTTGGTTTCATCGAACAATTGAATGTATATTAATGGGTGAGGTTATACGGAAATCTTCTCTTTTTTGCCAATTTGTATAAGGAATTTAGTTTTTATTGCAAGCTAAACATCCGATAAAAGGTTTCTACCTACCTTTCAGGTTTGTCAGTTTTTCTTGATAACAAAAAGAAATCACGATCGAAATTGCTTGATAAAATGCGTGTGTTTGGTAGAAACAGCGAAATAGAATCAAATTCGTGGCCCTTGGACGGCTCATTCAAGTGAAGAGCATACTCAACGCGCTCATCTTTAGGTAGATGAAAAATGCAAATTTTCATTAATGGGCAATCTGTAATCGAAGAAGGTTTTGAAATGTCGAATTTTTCAATCTACCAGAATTTTTTATTATTATTATTATTATTATTTTCGCTCGGAGACATTCCTGGCTTCTTGAAATGGGTCAGTCTCTTCTATTGCGAATATTTACCTTTCGATTTAATCAATTTTTTGAATAATGGTGAAAACACAATAGAAAGTGCTTATTAAAATTGGTTAGTTTGGAAGATAACAACAAAATTGGAAATTTGTCAAAGATTCAGCCGAGATGAATTTTTCTCCGCGCTTGTCTTTAGCTAGATACAGGTGCACATTGCTTCTGCCCTTCTTATTAATTTCACAAGAGGGACGTCAGTTGCTGCATGCATTTTATCAGGCTCTCCTATTCCAAATGTTTGATAAATGTATATTGTATTTGCGTCGCTTAACAATGTCAAATTCATTGTATAACTTTGTAAATATTAGACAGTATGTGGTATCGCTGAGTATTTTTTAAGTTCTGCCGTATTTTGACGAGCCTTACGGGC